AAAAAAAAAAAAGACAGGACAGTCTCCATTGCATTCCCTAGAGTAACTAGGTTTTCCAGAAAAGTAATCACGGTTCAGTCAAGGTTAATTAAAGGTTGCACTTTCACCACATTTCAAGCAGGTTTCTCTCTTCATTGTCACACAGATTAACATGCACTTTTATTTTTATGCAGCTAGTCACAAGTGATACCAAACTTGAGCTTGACCCAGCTAAACAGAGATAAAGCAAGTATAAGAATGCAGCATAAGGAAATAATCATTTATATTAGAGATTTTAATTAATGATTACAGTCCCCCCCTCTACATTAGCATTATTCAGAACCAAGAATATATCTCAAGGAGAGAGGAGATATCTCCAGAACAAATCTTGCATCACATGTATGGCTACAACATATAGTAGGAACATCACAGCTTCTTAAACCCTTAGAATTCCCTTTAATCCCAAGTGGAAAATTCAAGTTTCCTTTAAAGCAAAATTGCTCTTTGAATACTTTAGGGAGGAAAGAATGAGGGGGGGGGGGCGGGGAAAAGATTAGTATTATTTTTCTTCAGTGCTTCTGGTTACAAGGGACATAGGAGATTACCAGACTTATCCTTTCCCAAGACTACTGTATAGACTCTTGCAGGGTTTCATTAGGAATAAGTTTTTTCATAAATTGCATGTAAATTCCACACCTATTATTATTCTATTTGACAAAGAATGGACGTCATTCTTTTTGAGCTCCTCACTTGTTCCTTCGTACAGATGTCTCCATCATGAAGAAATAATTGATCATAACATCTGGATATGCAAATTTTAACACTCGGATGCAAGTAAGAAAACACTCTTCAAAAAGACCTACTCCGGTAAGCATTTCCACACTTGAATAATTGCGGCTCCACTATAGTTTTTACAAGATCCAGGATCTGGATTTGGATTGGGTTGCTATTAAGGCAAGTCAGTGCAAGCTGGTAGTGGTTAGAAGCTGGAAAGTAACAAACTCTGAATGGCATACAGCCTGCTGTTGTAGAAAGTCTCCATCCACTGAAAGGCTCATCACACTGCTTACTCAGTGAAGCGTGTCACAGGTTAGGTGGCACGTCACAGCCGCGCAGGCAGCTTCAGTAAGTCTTCCTTTTCATCACAGATACGTTAAAAAAAAAACTGCAGTCTTAAGTACCTTGCTCCATAAGGTGCACACAGCTTAGTTATTAGTGAAACTTGCTTTGCATTCTCAGTTACCTGTTTACCACCCCATCTGCACTGCATTTCACACTTGCAGCCCTACAGACCAGCTTGCCAGAAACAAAGATTTCACATGTGTCACAAAATGTCTTTTCAAGGCTTGATTTCCTCATTGAGGTTTACGAAAAGCCCTCAGGACTTCACTGAGTAGGATCACATTCCTGATCACGACAATGCCAAAGGCAAAGACGTTGTTCTCATTAACTAAACGGGTAAGCTGAATTTATTATATATTATGATGGAACTGAATCCTTGCCAATTAAGATTGCAGCCAGCTTCAATTTAAAATCCAAATTTAATTTGCCCTTTGACTTGAAAATTAATTAGGTCCCAAAACTGTCGATTTTATGCTGAAGGGAAAGGCAAATATTTTGGCAGAGTTTCACAGCCATTCACTACTTTTTAAGCTGAGTGACTATTAAAATAATTATTCCAAATTACAACATCAGCTTTCAGTTATATCCATTTTGGGTCCTGCGAGCTCAAAAATATCTTGCAACCATATGAAAGAAGACAGGTAAACTTACTCTGATAATCCATCAGGAATAAATGAAGAAAATAAACTGTATACAAAGAAAATGTTTTATGCTGTGACTACACCTATGTCTGATCTTACTCCTGCTACTTCAGTATGTGTTTCAGAATTTGGCACAACAAGCTAATAAACATGCTGCTTGATAAAGAAAAAGTAGAATCTTTCTGACTATCAAAAAAGATGGTATAAAGAATAAGATACTGAGAATTGCTCTCTAGAGCTTCCTACAAGCTACCTTCTCTGCTTTGGCATGTATTTCCCGAGATATTCACTAGGCATACAAAGCAGGGGTTTTGGCATGTCTGTTTTTTGTAGACACCTTGCCTAGGCTTCTCCATTTAATGAAGTTTAGAATATGTATTTTTAATATGCTTCACAATTGATCTATGCAGGGTAACTCCAAATTCTGTTGGAACGAGACTCGTCCTTGGATAGTTATCAAATGAATGCTTTGCACAAATAATACTTTCAGGATTTCTCATAATTTCAATATACTGAAAAGGTAACTTTAACAGTCTGACTGCAGCATACTTTTGAAGTTATGAATATGTTTTGCTGAGCAACAAACATTGAAACCAAGGGAAAGAAACATAGTAACTTACACATAGAATCCATTAGATTTGTCTATAATGTCATAAATCATTCGTGATTTGATTGAACTAAGTTTATCCATAGCTGCAGCCCCACCGTTATTCTTTATCCATTCCAGTACCAATCCCATGATATAGATGCTGTGTAAGAGAAAGAACATTATTCAATCAGGTTATTGTAATAGAAACAGAAGAAAAAAATTACAGTCCTGTTTAATGGTCCACAAAATATTTCAGCGATAAGATGCTACCTTGGTTTAAGGGTTTTTACTAAAACGATTAACTACGCAGAATTTGGACTACATTCCAAATTATGACATATTTAAGCAGTCAGTGTTTTTGGACCTAGATAAAGTACCCAACTACTTTACACCAAATTTAATACCCTGCATCACAGAAGGGCACATCCTGTAGGTCTCCCTCAGCCCTGCACAGCTCCCAAGGACATCCTTAGGCATTTCGCTTCTGCAATACTCTTTGACCATACAGCTGACTGTCCAGGTCCAAGAAAAAGCCAGAGCTGGCGCTACAGTTAGTGCCACACAGTCTGCACAGCTGCTCAAGCAAAGGTGCTGTGGTGAATCTCAAGTGTACGTGCATTAGTAATGCCAGGAATCTAATTCCCTTTTTGTAAACGTTAGAAATATACCTATAATCCTATTTCTGTCTAAAGAGCTCTTTCTCCACCTGAGGAGTGATATTTGGTGAAACAAATAATAAACAGATTGCACTTAATTATTCATTAACATTCAAGTTCCGAGCGGAAACCTGGAAGCCTGCTGAATTCACATGGCTACGGACCAAGCATTTCAATGCCAGTTACATTAGACTGGGTAAAAACCCTAAAGGCCTTTCTGCCTTTGTGCTTTTGCTATAAAACTCAGCTTGTTCAAGTTCAGGCACTTCCCACAACTATGCCGCTTTACATAATAAACTGTTCACAAGTTTTGATGGTATATTTCTAATAGGTTTGCTTTAACTTTTCATTACAGAATCCAAAGGAGTCCTCGGAGAACACTACCTTACAAACTTCCATCACAAGGATCTAGCAGGAAGTTCATTTAACTTTGCTACCTTTAATTTCTCAGTGGATGCAAACCTTGAACCTTTGAACACTTCAGAAAGACTGCAGAATAACTGAGGTTACAGACCGCCTGTTACAAATAAGAAAAGCACCTTACAGCCTTGAGTTCACAATCTTGCTACATTTACAACAGCTGCCTGTCAGCTACTCTAGTATAAAGCACAGCCTATACCCTGGCCACCTACACAGAGACACATTCCCCCTCATCCTCATTTCCTCAAGTGAAATTTCTTCGATAGATAAGATTTACAGAAGTAAGCCCTGGAGTGATCCACATAAACCAACCAACTGCAGGATTTCTTTCGTCCTTCTTTCACATCAGTCCAAATTATGTTTTTAGAGCAATTTGAAATGCAAAATAAACCCCTGAAGCTTAGAAATGAGATTTTTCCTAGCAAAATCACCAAAATCACCACCTAATCTTCATTTAGCAAAGAAGACTGGGGTCAAAAAGTTGGGCTCTTTAACCAAAAGGCTATAGCCATCAGCATCACATTAATTTAATTTAA